CTCTATCAGCACCAGTGTGGCCAGCAGGGCCAGTGATTGTTCCCCTGTACTGGGCACTGGTGAGGCTGCACCTCAAATCCTGTGTTCAGTTCTGGGCCCCTCACTACAAGAAAGACATTGAGGTGCTGGAGCAAGTCCAGAGAAGGGCAACGGAGCTGGTGAAGGGCCTGGAGCACAGGTGTGATAAGGAACAGCTGAGGAACTGGGGTGGGTTTAGTCTGGAGAAGAGAAGGCTCAGGGGGACCTTACTGCTCTCTACAGCTACCTGAAAGGAGGCTGTAGCTGGAGGTGGGTGGTCTCTGCTCCCAAGAAACAAGTGATAGGACAAGAGGAAACAAGACTCAAGCCATGACCTGGTATCAGAACAGGCTGCCCAGGGCAGTGGTGGAGTCACCATCCCTGGAAGCATTCAAAAACCATGTAGAGGAGGCCCTTAGTGACATGGTTTAGCGGTGGGCTTTAGTGCAGGGGTAAAGGTCAGACTTGATGATCTAAAGGTCTTTCCCAACCCAGTTGATTCTATTATTCTGTTCTGTGCTTCCAAGATGAACCATGTGTTTTCATCAAAGAAGTAATTCAAGCACTTTTATCTTTCTCCTCATTCCCTCTGTATAAAAATGTGATTTCTTACTGCAGGTCAATGCCTGAGGACACCACCACTACTTAAACCTTATTTGGAAAATAAATCTGGTAAAAATCCACTGACTCACAGAAGAAACTACAGGAAAACCAGGGAAACTTCCAGAATTGCTCTCAGCCCTGCATGGAAAAGGAGGAGGGAGACAGCACAGAAAGAATTAACTTAGAATTAGTAGGGCCTACTTTAACCCTAACCATAAACGATTTACCTAACCCTAAACTGTCACCTGACCCTAACCCCTTCTTAACCTTAATGCTACCCATAAGCCGTCACCTAACCTCTGTCCTGGCGACGTGGTCTAGGCTGCGGATAGGGCTGAGGCAGGACAGCGGCCAGGGCTCAGGGTGGGGTTAATGAAGGCGTGGGCAGGTGATGGGGCGTGGCTTGGGTGGAGGAGGGTTCTCAGGAGTGGGCGGGGTCGGAGCAGGTAGCAGTGAGACCACGGCGGGGGCAGGCCTAGAGGGGGCGTGATCGGGGCTGTGAGTGGAGTGCGGTTAAAAGGGGTCTGAGGGTACGTTAAGGTTGGGGCGGGGCCATGCTTAGAGGCGTCACCTAGGCAAGGGTTGTGGGCGGGGCTAGGGTGGACGTGTGGCCACACCTAAGGGGGCGGCGGGGCAGGGTGGTCAAAGCGGAGGCAGGTGTGGTCAGGGTGGGGTCACTTGTGGGGTTGGAGTCTGTGTTGCGGAGGGGCTGCTGTGGGCTGCGGGCGGAGCCACATGGGGGAGCGGGTCCAGGCCGGGGGTGGGGGGGGCCTCACGCTAGCTGAGGCACGGTGCCGCGCAGGGGGCGGGGCCTGTGCTGTGGGCGGAGTTAATGAAGGACGGGGTGCGTGGACTTGGGACTTTCCTGCTCTCTTCAGTCCCGCTGCCAGACCCAGTGTTTTTTTGCATCTCCAGCCTGCTTACTGTCTTTGTTTTTTTTTGTTTTGTTGTCCTGTTCCTACTCCCTATTTCTGCTGCTTCTTTCTCCATCTCTGTCAGACTCCCTGTCCCTTTCTCTCACCACTCCCTTATCTACATCTTGCTTTCTGACTACAGCCCCCGGCTGCTGGCTGTCACTTTTCTCCTCTGTTCTGCCACCCACTCCTCAGTTTTGGCGACCTCCACGGCTGCCCACCAGCCCCTTCCTCCAGGAGCTGGCCAGCTGGCTGTCCGTTCCCTGCCAGAGCAACCAGAGCAGCTTTGGTTAATGCTGAGGTGTCCCAGGGACAAGCCTGGAGCTCCAGAGCATGCTTGATTGTGCAACTTACTACATGCATGATTAAATAAATACTATTTGTCTCCTTCGCCCTCAGGGCTTGTTTGCACTTTTTTCGCACCGGGTGAGGGGCTCTGCCAGGGCCTGGGGGAGGATGTGATGCACAGTGGAGGTCGGACGATGGCACCCTGCTCTTGCTGGGCTGCAGCTGCATGCACCCCACAGCTGGAGGAACCCCAGGTGCCAGCAATAAAGCTGATGATGACATAACATTCCCTGGGGGCAGTGGAGGGGCTGGTGTGCGCCAGGGAAGGAGTAGAGTAGCAGCTAAGTGTTGCCAGTCTGGACTTGCACTGACAGAGAAGGTGAGCTGGAGCCGTATCAGCTGATCCCGGAGGGAAGCCCTGACTAGCACAATGGTTTACGACAGGGAGTAGGGCCATTAGTGTCACTGAAAGTCGGGAGAATAAAACTCCTTAATACCGATGGAGCATTAATAAACAGGCATTATTTATTAAGGTGCCTGATGCACCTTAGTAGGGGCTAGCTCTGCCTAATGTGTGCTGATTCTTGCAGGTTTCTTCCTTATGAGCATTTATCTCATGCATATATATTACAATTCCAAATATCTTACAAATATTCTAGGTTACTACCCACTAGAGCACAGATTATTTTGAGTGAAGGTCTCAAGGGTCTTTGGAACCCCTGGTGGTCTTATCTTTGTTGACCTTTGGTTGAACTTCTCTCATTATCTTCCGTTTATGGGCTTAGGCTGGTTTCTCTTCTGACTTTGTGAGGAATAGTTCCTGGTTCAATGAGCTGGAGAGGCACTTTGTGACGAATGGTTCCTAGTTCAGTGAGCTGGATAGGTAAAGAAAGCACGTTCTTTACCCTTTGTCTTGTTCCTTCTTTCTGTATGTATGGTTTTGTTTAGCTATAACTTGGTTTCTTTCAGCTAGTAAAATGAGTCCACTTCTATCACTGGGGTTCCTGTCAGAGGCATGGAGCGCTGGGTCATGCACGGGGCTGTCTGGAGCTGTACTGGAGCCAAAGGCAGGTGATACCGGGAAGAGAGCCGGGTGGGATCGAGGGAACTGCCTGTAGCCATACTGGGGATTGCTGGCTGTGCTCAGCACAGCTTGTGGGTGCAGCGGCAGGGATGTGGAGGAGGAAGAGGGACAACCATGGTGTCCCCGCAACGTCAGAGAGCCGGGAACACTGCCCATAGCAGCGTGCAGGGAGCCGTGGTCCCTGGACACTTTGCTTTACATCACCCGTATTGTTTTTGTGGGGCATGTGGGGAGTCATAGCCACTTGACACTCAGCTTCTGGTCAGCCACGTTGTTTTTCTCGTGCTCACTGCTACAATCTCGCGAATGAATTGCAGTACTGCAGATTAGTGCCATGCATCTTGAGGAGCCACCGCTGAGCTCCACTCTGCTTTCTGCCAGTAAGGGTGATGTGACGCTGCCATGCCTGCTTGGAGAGGAAAATGCTAGTGTTCGGCTACCTCAAGATAATCCCCAGAGGTGAGTACCCTAATGCATGGTCACAGTGCAAAGCCAGCAGTCCTGACAATCCTACTGCTCCACCAGGCCCGATAAGAGGCTGGAGAATGGTATTACTACTTGCCCTCTCTGGGTGCTATCCTACCTCCTGAAGGGCGGCATGGAAAGGAGAATTTAACATCATGTCAGGGCTTGCACTGAAAGAAGTACTGAACCAGAAGCCACATCATTTTGACACAGTCCCTCTGTCCTGATATGCAGCACATGTCCTACGGACAACTTTCCACACCCCTTGGGTCATGCTTAGCCCAAATGTCAGCCCCATGCAAGGCTTCTTAGCTGCCACAAGCACACTGGGCTGCACTAGGGGAGCATGGTCACCCTCACAAGGGTAGGAATTTTCTTCTCTCTGGACTCAGCACTGGTGTGACCCCATCTGGAGAAGCGTGTTTCAGTGTGGAATCCTTGTTCTGGAGGAATCTTCCCAGATAGGGTTAGGGGTCATGGGTGGAGATGCTGAGAGTCCAGGGCTTAGTAGCTCAAGACAGATGGAAAATTTCACTCTGAGACGATTGAACTTCGGTTTTTTTTTTGGCAGTAAGAAACAACATGAGAAAGGAAAATCACCAGAAATTGCATCTTTGGAGGTCCAGAGTAGAGCTGAAGTTAAAGAAACGTCACTTCCAGTGTAGTGCTTTGGTGCTAAATATTCACTCACGGAGTGTCAGGATCAACTCATGGCTTTGTGTTTTCAAGGAGCACCAGTAGAGGTAGAGACATCCTGGGATGAGAAAAAGGTGAAGAAGAGCACTGGGTGTGTGCAGCCTGCAGGGAATCTGACACAGGCATGGGACAGTGCAGCATGGCCTGTAGTGCAGATGGCCAAGGGCACTGGCAAGGTGCTTGGTCCCTGATAGAACCAAGGTCTTTGTCCCCTTGGCTGTGGCTGATGTCCCTGCCACAAAGGTCTAAGAGAAGACAAATTGTCATCATGACCATGGGGCATCATTGCCTTCTTGCAGCCCCCTGGGAAGACCAGAAGGTGTCATACCATTGTCCTTCACTTCGCGTCACATTCCCAGATCCCCCGGAAGAGCCTGAACCACAGGCTGAGGGTCAGGGCTTGGCCATCCACCTTCATCAAGAAAACCAAGGTTTTTTTCTCAGCATCAGAGTTGCTGCACTTTGCCTTTGCCAGCCTCCAGTTATCTGCTCTAATGAGTTCCTGGGAAGGCTTTGTCAATAATGGCCCTCAGTGGGGCCCCATTAATGCTTCAAGGTACTTTGAAATTGCTTCTGAGTTTGACTGCTTGAGAGGGTTCTTCAGTCTCCTCTCAGTAGCTGAGGTACATGGACTCAACACCAAAAAGGCTGTGGGGTTCATTAAAATACTGAAGGCCCTAATGAGCCATGTGTCTTCCTGGAATTTTCTTTAAGTCCTCACAGCTTGCACAACTCCACTGAGATCTGCAGCTGGATATTGCAACTCCTTTACACCAGCTCCCTCCTACTTTTCTTAGAGAACTGGGCTGCACACAGGGACTGAAAACCTCCCTTCACTACTGACAAACAAAAGTTAAATGCTATATAACTCCTCAGCTGCATGCCAAGTCTAAGCAGCATCTAGCATGATCCCCCTTTCACAAGTGATTTGTGTAGAACAGTTTTAAATAGAGAGATAAGAAAGGATAGATATAAACACAATTAAGGTTGTGTGGACTTTAGAAAGATGAAGCAAGTTTCTAGCTTCCTGCAGCTCAAAGCAGAGAGCAGATATTTGAGGGGATCTGGAAGACCAAAGAGCAAGTGGAGGAGGAATCCTGAGAGCAATGGGAAGGGTATATGTCCAGATTGTCTGCTAAAAAGTTTTTAGATGTGGCCACTTGATACGGAGAGTCAGAGACACCTGAATGGTGAGGGTGATGAAATTACAGATAGAGTAGGTAATACAAGTACAGGGGAAGATCAGTATTTCTTTTCCTACCATTAATACACTTCCTGGAATTTCTCATTTTGTCATTTTGGGAAAACATTGCCAGGTCTTAAATGTACTCAAGTGACTGAGCTGTTGAAAAAGTGCTTCTATATTTTGTGCATACTTTCATTTTCATAGACAGTAACTGATGCCTGACAGGCTTGCAGGTGTTAAAACAAGATCATTTGTGTCCTTCATAGAGCTGCAGGCCCCAAAACCTTCCCTGCCCAGGACTCCACAGTCTGCACAGAGCAAGTAACACTGAGGTGTCAGCTTCTCTTTGCTGGTAGCAGATGTTAGTTGTGATGCTCACCTACAGCATTGGAGGATTCATGCCTCATCAATATCTGCTCTGCTCCAGTTAGCAATAGAGCCTTAAGAAAACTGAGGTTGGAAGGTTACCTCAGGAGTTCTACAGTCCAACCTGCCAGAAACAGGGTCAGAGAAAGTTGTTCAAGGCTTGATACAGTCTGAGTTAGAAAACACGAAGGACAGAGACTGCACAGCCTCTCTGGGTCACCTGTTCCAGCACTTAGCTATGCTCATGGGGAAAACATTTTTCTCTATGTCCTGACTAAATCTCTCCTCTTTCACCTTCTCCCTTTGCCTTTTGTCATCCCACCATGCACAATAGCGAGGAATCTGACTCTGTATTCTCCATGACCTCCTCATCAGTACCGGCAGGCTGTGATGAAGTCCTCATCAGCCTCCTCTTCCTGGGCTGGACAATCCAACTCCCTCAGCCTCTCCAGACAGGCAACATGTTCTAGCCCTGAGGGCCCTTTCCAATATCTTGCCTGAACTGGGGATCTGAAGCCTGCATGGAGTATTCCAGAGCATCCCTTCTCTTGGTCTCCTGACCATGGTCCTTGGTCAGGATGCTGGTGGCCTCCCTGGCAGTCATATGGCTGCCTCCTGTCCAGCTCCAGCAGACCAAGACCTTACCTACTGGGCTGCTCCCAGACAGACAGACCCAGGCAGCGTCATTGCCAAGGTGAGTCTCGTGCAGGGGCAGAAACTGGAATTTGTCCTTCTGGGATTTCCTGAGGTTCCTGTAAATATGTTCTCTCCTCTTTCTGGAACCTCTTCATTGAGCACAGAGCTCACAGACCTTTCCTGTAAAAGCCAAGTAGGCATTGAGTCCCTCAGACCCATGGATGTCTGCTGTTCCATCCAGCTGTAGCCCTGCATTTTCTTTCTCAAGTCCTGAAGCTCTTCTTTTTGCTCTTGACTTTCCTTACAGGCACCAATTCCAGACGAGCTTTGCCTTTCCCAAAGTCATACCTGCAGAGCAAAGGAAATGTACATAAACCGCTTGTCTGTACCTGTCCTTGCTGTCACTCCTTGACAGCTGCTTCATGGCCCTTGTTAGTGCTCTGTCCTGTGACATCGCAGCCCCACAGTGCAAGCACAGCACAGGACAGGGTACATTCAGGGTGAGGAATGGTCCTCTGACATGATGCCCTCAGCATTCCTTAGTGTTTTGTCACTCCATGACCTTCCTGTTGGGCAGCCTCTCCAAGCTTCTGGAGATACCAAGTCACCTGCGGGGCTTCACAGACATCTCTGCTCCAGAGTCTGCCAGGCTCTGGCCAGGAGGGAAGCTGGGCAGGCTTGGCCATTCCCATGATACAGACACTGGGATCAGCAGGAGGATGGAGATGGCCTTACAGTAAAACTCACCCTTAAACCTGGGTTGAACAGCCAGGGCTGGAAATGGCCAGAGAAAGATGGCCAATGGGTGGGTGGTGACAATGGACCTTGGGTTACATTCTGGGTCTGCTCAAGCCACCTCTGTCCTGCACTTGGATGGCTTCCACAAGCCCTGCCTCTACACCACAACCTCCTGGTGTGAGTTCTCACCCTGCATGGCCATGCAGTACAAAATAGACACAGAGCAGCCATCAGAGAGCTGGTGCAGCCAGAAAGCTGTTTTCATTTCCCATTTATTCCTGCAATGTGGAGGATGGATCTCAGATTAAAAAGGAGCTGCAGAAGTTCACAGAAGGACTGGTCCACAGAATTGCCTTGACAGAGTGGCAGTGAAAATGTATTAACAGTGTGCAGCACAGCATAGAGAAACCCACTGCTGCAGGCAGCTGCTGCCATGTGGGCACAAGCTCTGCCAACCAGGAGGGTCCCGTAGTGCAGCGGTTTGCAGATGCCAATGTAGCGGTCATAGGACATGATGGTGAGAAGGTAATACTCTGCTGAAATGAAAAAGACGAACAGAAATACCTGGGCAGCACATCCTGAAAAAGAAAATTTCCTTGTGTGCCAGAAGGAATTTGCCATGGATCTGGGGACAGTTGTGGAGATGAAGCCCAGGTCAAGAATGGAGAAGTTGAGGAGGAAGTACATGGGGTTGTGGAGGCAGTGGTCACAGGCTGCGGTGGTGATGATGAGGCCATTATCCAGGAGGGGAACCAGGTAGATACCCAGGAAGAGCCAGAAGTGCAAGAGCTGCAGGTCCTGCGTGTCTCCGAACGCCAAGAGGAGGAACTGGGTGATGGAGCTGCCATTGGACATCTGCTGCCTCTTGGCATGGGGACTTACTGAAAAAAGAAAAGGATAGGGAAAGATTACGCCAGACTCTTCTGAGCAAAGACACCCCATTTTTCATAGAAATCTCCCCAGCTGAAATGCATTTCTTTTCTCTTGTTTGTGCTGGCTGAGTGCAGTATGAGGAGCAGGACCTCTGCTGATGTGCTACCAGGGAGTCAGCTGTCCTCTGAAGCAGTGGTTTGTACAGCTTTGGAAGATAACATGAAATCCAATTTTATCATAAAAGTTCAGTAGTTGCACTCATGGCTCGGATGGGTATGACTTTCAGAAGCAACTCTTAGCTTGTCTTAGAATGGTTCTGTGTTTTTTATTGACTAGCATAACACCTGCTGAGTCTTTTTTATAGGGGTATAAATCATTCTTTGTATGACTGAAAATTGGAAGTGGATTGAAACAGGCAAAGGTCTCGGCTCTTTGTAGCTTAGTGCAGTGCCAGTAGAGCTGCTGTGTCCAAAAGTTCTTTGACATTTTAGCTGTGCTTAGACTTGGACTGCCTTTAAGATGCATTCACACAAAAATTAATCTTAAGAACACCCACAAATATATGCCCTGTGATGAGATCAGGAGAGCACTGTTTCAAAGGGTAGGTCACGGAGATCTCGTGGGGGAAAACGAAGAGCACTGTCCAGCAGACCATGCCCAGCAGACACCCGCAGTGACAGACAAGTGAGTTTCCAGAATGCACCCTCCCCCAGACTGGTTTGCAGTTTCCCCCCACTCCCTGGCCATGGCTTTGCTGCTTGGAGATGTCCTTGCCAGGAGCTGCTTTTCTGTGCCCAGGTCTCTTCCCTGTCAGTGCTCCTAGAGCCCATCCGATGGGCTCTGTGCTCAGCTCTGTCCTGCAGACACCTTCCAGCATCAGGGCACTGCCCAGGGGCATCTCTTGGTATGCAGGAGGTAAGAAACTACTCAAACAGTGCTGATGAGAACTGGGGTCTCAGTTCCTTCTCCAAAGCAGAAAAATAAATTCCCAGCTCCCACTGTTCACCCAGCCAACCTACAGTGAAAAAAAATCACAGAATTCATTCTTCTAAGGCAAGTGCTGCCTCAATATCTTTCAGAAGGACCTCTGCAAATACCAAGTGATCAGGAGATCTGAGCAGCCCTGTACCACACAGCACACTCTAAAGAGCAGAAGACTTCCCTTCCAGGGTTTTTTCCTTCCACTCCCAGCTTCCCCCCTCCCAGCACTATGGGGACCTTCTGGGCAGGCTGAGTGCTGACCCTGGCATGCAGCAGAGTCCCTGCCCCAGCATGTAGCCCTTGGGCTGCCGGGCCTTCTAGGAAGGACAGCAGTAGGGACCCCTGGCTGCACACCCAGATTCACACCCTGCAGCCATCCCTGGGACAGAAGAGCTGTATTACCCTGTCCCTCGGATGGTGCAGCAGGCAAGCCCTGCTCTGGAGCACATCCTCTTCCTTATCTACAGTAGAGAAACCAAGAGAAATCTCCTGACAGATCCCATAAACTTTCAGAGGCATCAGCTTAAGCAGATAGGAACTGTAGCTGCAGTGCCCTGCACCCAGACCCTTACCACACAGAGGGCTGTGAAGATTTCTCCTGCAGTGAGCTCTCAGGATTCTCCCACTCCCAACTGCCTTTAAGCTCTCTCAGCCTTGCAGGTCTCCTCTGTGTTCCTGCTGGCAGTGCCCGCAGCCCTCTAGAGAACAAGCAGTGGTGGACAGGTGTTAATCCAGGGTTCATTTAGGGTTCTTTTCTTGAAACATAAAGCTTTGGGCCAATCTGGACTCCCTCCTGATGGCCTATTGCTCCACAGTACTTCTTGGTGTTGATAAAGTTAATTAGCTTTAATTTTATTCCTGTCATTCAGTCTTACTTGACAAGGTAGCTATAACTGCATTATGTGAACCTCTGACATGAAGTTTTTGGGCCAGTGTTTTTTTTCTCTTTGCTGACTGTCAACATAATTTAATAGAATCATAGAATAGTTAGGGTTGGAAAGGACCTTAAGATCATCTAGTCCCAAGCCCCTGTCAATGGCAGGGATACCTCACACTAAACCATGTCACCCAAGCCTCTGTGCAACTTGGCTTTGTACACCACCAGGGATGGAGCATTCACAGCTTCCCTGGGCAACCCATTCCAGTGTCTCACCACCCTTACAGTGAAGAACTTCTTCCTTATATCCAATTTAAACTTCCCCTGTTTAAGTTCGAACCTGTTACCCCCTGTCCTATCACTACAGTCATTCATGAAGAGTCCCTCCCCTGCATCCTTATAGATCCCTTCAGATACTGGAAGGCTGCTATGAGGTCTCCACACAGTTTTCTCTTTTCCAGGCTGACCAGCCCCAATGTTCTCAGCCTGTCTTCATACGGGAGCTGCTCCAGTCCCCTGGTCATCTTCATGGCCCTCCTCTGGACTTGCTCCAAGAGTTCCATGTCCTTTTTATGTTGAGGACACCAGAACTGTACACAATACTCCAAGTGAGGTCTCACGAGAGCAGAGGGGCAGGATCACCTCCTTTGACCTGCTGGTCATGCTCCTTTTGATGCAGCCCAGGATGCAGTTGGCTTTCTGGGTTGTGAGCGCACACTGAAGCCGGCTCATGTTCAGTTTCTCATCTACCAACACCCCCAAGTCCTTCTCCGCAGGGCTGCTCTGAATCTCTTCTCTGCCCAACCTGTAGCTGTGCCCGGGGTTGCTCCAACCCAGGTGTAGGACCTTGCACTTGGCATGGTTAAACTTCATGAGGTTGGCATCAGCCCACCTCACAAGCGTATTGAGGTCCCTCTGGATGGCATTCCTTCCCTCCAGGGTATCAACCGAACCACACAGCTTGGTGTCATCGGCAAACTTGCTGAGGGCACACTCAATCCCCCTGTCCATGTCAGCGACGAAGATGTTGAACAAGACCGGTCCCAACACCAGTCCCTGAGGGACACCACTCATAACTGGTCTCCAACTGGACATTGAGCCGTTTACCACAACTCTGTGTGGGGTCATCCAGCCAGTTCTTTCTCCACCCAGTGGTCCATCCATCAAATTGATGTCTCTCCAATTTAGAGACAAGGATGTCATGTGGGACAGTGTCAAACGCTTTGCACAAGTCCAGGTAGATGACATCAACTGCTCTACTCCTGTCCATCAGTTCTGTAGCCCCATCATAGAAGGCCACCAAATTGGTCAGGCAGGATTTCCCCTCAGTGAAGCCATGCTGGCTGTCACCAAGCACCTTGTTGATTTTCATGTGCCTTAGCATGCCTTCCAGGAGAATCTGCTCCAAGATTTTGCCAGGCACAGAGGTGAGACTGACTGGTCTGTAATTCCCCGGGTCATCCATTTTCCCCTTCTTGAAAATGGGGGTTATATTTCCCTTTTTCCAGTCATCCAGAACTTCACCCAACTGCCATGATTTTTCAAATATGATGGACAGTGGCTTAGCAACTTCATTTTCCAGCTCCTTCAGGACCTGTGGATGGATTTCATCAGGTCCCATGATTTATGCACGTTCAGGTTCTTAAGATGGTCTCGAACCAGATCCTCTCCTACAGTGGGCCTAGGGTCTCCATTCTCACAGTCCCTTCATCTGCTTTCCAAGACTTGGGTGGTATGGTCAGAGCATTTGCCAGTGAAGACTGAGGCAAAGAAATCATTAAGAACCTCAGCCTTCTCCAAACCCAGGGTAGCCAGTTCTGCTGATAGCTTCCAGAGAGGGCCTACTTTGTCCCTAGTCTGTCTTTGATTTGCAATGCAATTATAGAATCCCTTCCTGTTATCTTTCACATCTCTAGCCAAGTTTAATTCTAACTGGGCCTTGTCTTTCCTGACATGGTCCCCAGCTTCCCAGACAACATCCCTGTATTCTTCCCAGGCCTCCTGTTCCTGCTTCCACCTTTTATAAGCCTCTTTTTTTCCTTCAAACTTTCCTCAGCAGCCCCTTATCCATCCAAGGAGGTCTCCTGGCCCTCCTGCTGCACTTCCTTCTGGTTGGGACGCAACACTCCTGCGCTTGTAGCAGGTGATCCTTGAATATCAACCAGCATCCTTGGGCCCCCCTGTCCTCTAGGGCTATATCCCATGGAACCTTACTAAGCAGGTTCCTGAAGAGGCCAAAGTCTGCTCTCTTGAAGCCCAGGGCAGTGAGCTTGCTGCACGCTCTTCTCACTGTCCAGAGGATCTTGAAGTCGACCATCTCATGATCACTACAATCAAGGCTGCCCTGGAGCGTCACATTTCCTATCAGCCCTTTCCAATCAGCCTGCACAAATCTTCAATCTGTCTCTGTATTTGGCATATAACTTTGACTGCCTCTGCCACCACAAATGTCACCAGACATTTGCATCTGGACACGTCACCCCTGGCCTCCCTCACTGCTAATTACCATGGGAGCCGAGACAAGATGCTCACATACAGGTGGGCAAGAGGAATCCCAGTTCCTGTGGGTTTGTGATAGTCATGACAGTGAGCTGAGTCTGCCTCTAGTCCCAGGTCTACAATCCCAGGATGAGATGTCCCAACTGATAAGGCTGAATCCCTTCTTTCAGCAAGGGTAAAGGAGATCCCTGCCTGTCCTGGTTTGGCTATCCTGTCTAATGATGGGACAAGAAACAGGCTGCCAAGACAAGGGTAGTGTCACTATCCCTGTAGTCATTCAAAGACATGATATTTAAGGGACATGGTTGACATGTGGACTCGATGTTCGTAAGGGTCTTTTCCAAATTAAATGATCCTGCAATTCTAAGAAAAGTTGATATTAAAAAAAAATGATTTTAAAAAAATTAAAAAAAAAATGTTAAAAAGTTGACTGAAGAAGATTTAAAATTAGACTTTAGACTCTCAGCAGACAGACTGCAGGAAGGCAGTGTCTCTCCCAGCTCTGAGAGGGAACATCAGTGCTTGTTCAGGCTGTTTTAGAGGATATTTCCCTGGAGCCCCAGGGACCCCTAGAGGGAAGCCAGAGAAGCACTGCTGCATCACCTAAGGGAGAGGCGAAGTCAGAGTTTAAAGGCAGTCTGGAATGGATGGACAGAGCTGAACTTGTTCTCAGAGAAATCTTCACAACTGTTGACACAGTAAGTCTGTGGCAGGAGGAAAATCAAGATGAGTATCCTGGACGGATAACACTATAGTGTTAGATCTGCAGATTTTTCTGTTGCGGAGCAGGGCTTGCCTGCTGCACCATGCAAGGGACAGAGCAACACAGGTCCCTTGTCTCGGGGATGGCTGCAGAGTGTGAATGTAGGTGTGCAGCCAGGGGTGCCCTGAGCT